CTTTGATTCCATCATCTCATTAAACCTTTTTAAAAGCATACTTTAGTTCTGTGAAGGGATATAAGGGATATATGCACTGTACTTCACTTTTATTAATATTGTATGCTGAAAAGCGTATATATATTACAGCTACGTTTTTTTGTTGAATAGATTTGAACGTCTTCAAAATGTTGGGTCGCGATGCATTGACCGAGTAGAAAGTGGGTCCCGAGGCCTGACCAGTTGAGAACCACTGGTCTATAGGTTAGCTGTGGACGACTAGTCGACGACTTTACTTTCTACTTCTCACATTTTGAACACAAATACCTGTACGTTCTACTTCTTACATGTTGAACACTAATACCTGTACTTTCTACTTCTTACATTTGAACCCAAATACCTGTACTTTCTACTTCTTACATTTTGAACCCAAATACCTGAACTTTCTACTTCTCACATGTTGAACTCAAATACCTGTACTTTCTACTAATCTCATTTCCCAAACAGGCTGGTTCCTTCAGTCTGAATGTGTGTTTGGTGGCGTGATCATTATTATTTAGAGTCATTGCGTGCCTATTGATTTGAACACGATCCGTGTATCCATCATTTCCTGGTCTTCTCTAAAGAAGAGGGACCAATGAAAACGTTGTCATGTTGCCGTTGTTCAGCATGGAAACATTCATTAGCTAACAATGACATTATTGTTCTATTAATATAAAGGGAGGTCAGGTACTCTTTAAAACAGCTGCTAGTTATGGGTACTTTTTACTGAAGTACATTTCAAAGCCTCTTTACTTTCACTTGAGTAAAGAAGTTTAGTCAGTACTTCTACTTTCACCAGAGTATTTTCAAACACGAGTATCTGTACTTCTACTTGAGTAAAGGATGTGTGTACTTCTACTTGAGTAAAGGATGTGTGTACTTCTACTTGAGTAAAGGATGTGTGTACTTCTACTTGAGTAAAGGATGTGTGTACGTTTGCCCTCTCTGGTGCTTGGTGATGCGCTTCATGTTGACCACCTTTCTGTTTTGCTGCCTCTCTTTATCTCGCAGTGAACAGCCGCAGCAGTGACTCTTCGAACAGGAACAGCCACACGTTTAACTGCCGCATGTTGGTCAACCCTCACGCTGACGCTGAAGCCGACCAGCAGGAGGCGCCGCAGCAGAAATACGAAACCATGCAGTGTTTCGCCGTCTCCGAACCCAAGTCTATCAAAGAAGAGGGGGAAGGTAATGTCTCTTATGTCATGTTGTGTATTGAGCCTCTTTCCGTTTTGATTTATTTCTTAGTCAAGGTTAGGGTTAGGGTGACCTTAGGAGATCTCCCATTGGACGGAACTTTGGGAGTTTTAGCCAGTGCAGACCACTTTTAACTATTTTACCTGTTTTATTGTGTTGCACTGTTGGAGGAGCCTTTGACATAAGATTGTCAGTGACATATCTTCACTGTAGCTATGCACACATGACAATAAAAGCATGGAAACTTGAATCTTGAGACCGATACGTATAACACACTACAAGAAAGGGAAAAACCCAAAATGCATAATAGGGCTTTTTTTAACCTTTTCTTCTCCTTCATTCCGTTCACTATTTGTTCCTCTCGTCTTCATAGTTTCGCCGATCAACTTCTACATTTTCTTTCTCGCTTGTATTTTCTCATCCTCTACTCCTTTTGTTTCTATCTTACCACCCTTGTCTTCACTCTGTCATTTTCTCATCACTTTCTCCATCCCCCCTCTTCTTCACAGTCTCTGGTGTCCTGTCCTCTTTCCACCACCATCTCATCTACTGAGAGACACTAATTAGTGTGTGTCACTTCCCGTCATCTTCCCATCTTATCTTATATCTCACACACACACGCACGCACGCACGCACGCACGCACACACACACACACACACACACACACACACACACACACACACACACACACACACACACACACACACACACACACACACACACACACACACACACACACACACACACACACACACACACACACACACACACACACTTGGGAAAAGAATATGTCTAGCATTCTAATTTGAGACGTCTGACATCCAGATTTTGTGGGTGTTGCTTGAGATTAGGGTGGAGGCTGATTTTAAAACTCAGTCTGAGTCTGTTGAGGCTGACTCAATGAGTTTGATTTCAATGCTAAAGTATTGTTAGGGTGTTCCTGTGGTTGAGGATGAGGATGAGAATGTCATACATTCAGTAAAAGGCATATTTATGGTCATGCAAGGCATTCTAGAGTCTCTTCGTAGATACTTATTGTGTAGATTGGCATTCAAAGTCAAATTGGTTTAGAAGTACCCTTAAAGCGTGACCTTCTAAGGTTTTAATTTAAATAATAATGTTGTTTTAACGGTCCCACTGTGCCTATGTTCTTCTACTGTATACATGTTATATTCCATTACTCTAGGTGTATGTTGGTTAGTTATAGTGTATGTTAGTTAGTTGTATGTTAGTTAAGGATTATTTTAACCGATATTTTTCCAAACACACAGATTTCCAGTCTTGTCTGATCTGTGTGGCGAGAAGAGTCCCCGTCAAAGAGAGACCTGTGATGCCCACGTACGAGAGCTTCACCACGAGACAAGACCTCCAAGGTACAAAAGGACCATTTTTAATAACACAGTTTTAGGTTAGGGTCTTGTAGGAAAATTATGTTTTTTTCGTATGCCTTCACTGTGAAGTAAAATTGAGAAAAGACTTGATCAATTGAATTAAATGGGGTTGACAAAACATCCAATTACAAACTCTCGCACAGCTCGTACAAAATAATCTAGGTCTTATTCCAGAATCAGTAGTATGCTCACTACTTCTCTAAATAAACACAGTTTTGCTAAAATCTTACAATATCAAACACCGCTGCAAAAACAGTGTCACACTTCCACAGATATGTTAGTAGTCCTTTAATATGAAGTATGATCAATCAGCATAGTACCAAATTAAAATGTACGATAAGTACGTTGTTTGAAAATGTGTAGGTCAGGAACAAAAGGTTCAGAGGTTTCTTCTGCAGAGTGAATGTTTGCACTTAAGGTTGTGAACTAAGGTCCACAGGTGAAGCTCCATGACAAACAACATCAGCAAACAACTGAAACATGGAAGTCATCTGTTACAAATCTTTTATTATCTGGGCTGCGTTTAACAAAATCAATAAGTCAACACTGAGACACATTTTTACATTCCTCCCAGTGTGTGTGTGTGTGTGTGTGTGTGTGTGTGTGTGTGTGTGTGTGTGTGTGTGTGTGTGTGTGTGACAGACAGACAGACAGACAGACAGACAGACAGACAGACAGACAGACAGACAGACAGACAGACAGACAGACAGACAGACAGACAGACAGACAGACAGACTCCCACACTCACTCCCCACAATCCTGAATAGAAAAATACAAATATGTATATCCTACACAATCAACAGACACATTTATACACATGCACACAATAAGATAAAAACACAACAGTCAATACAAAATAACAGTCACTTCAATATCTTTGGGAATGTACATTAGTGCAAGATTGTCCATAGCAGCGTAAAAAGTGTCGGGTGCTGGAATTGAGAGAATAGAGATCTGAATGTTTTGGTCAGTTGTTAAGAAATGACCCTCCTGCTCTAACAACCTGTTAACATCTCTTATCTCCTCCCTCCCCAGGTAAGATCACGTCTCTGGACACCAGTCTGCTGCGGGCCTCCATGAAGCCGGGCTGGGAGGATTTGGTGCGACGATGCATTCAGAGATTTCACCTGCAGAACGACGGGGAGATGTCCTTCGCTAAGAAACACCAGCAGGAGGGTGAGGAAGAACTGGAACTCAAAGTGTCTTCAATTCACGCTCTGACTTTCTTCAGATTGGGTTGATTTATCGGTGGTTTTCTTATAGTTCTTTTTGAGTTTTTGCAAGTCTTGCAAATTCTTCCTAGGTTCAATTCGGACATGTTGGGCGTTCATTGATCTAGAAGTTAATTGAGGAATGAATTGTCGGACAATCTACCTTACAGTCTATCTGCAGACTGTAATAACTCTGTAACTAAAGGAGGTGTTTGCCGCCTTAGCTAAACTATAATCCTTTTTTCATTTTATTTTATTTTGGTTTGCATGATATTTTTCACTTAAAGTATTGTTTTGAGTTTTGCAAGTCTTGATGAATTGTTCCTAGGTTGCAGTCGAATAGTCCAAGTATCAGCTCCTATCGTCTATCCCTATCGTCTATCATCTATCCCTATCGTCTATCATCTATCCCTATCGTCTATTCCTTGACCTCTGAGTGAAACGTCACGGGGTTAAGGGATAGTGGATAGGAGAATTCAAAAGGACTTAGGAGAAGAGACTGCGGTACTTTAGAGAATCCAAATGCACTTTCACTATCCGACGTCCTGAATGTGCGTCTGCTGCTTTGGGGAAACCATGGAAACTACAGTTTTCTATACAACGGACTACAACATGGATGTATAATAAGAACGAGGGACTCATCTAGAGACTCTGCACCGTGATCTGAGTCTGTTGCTTTATGCTTTATGAACGTGGACAACATAGAAACATATTCTTCATGACCAAAGTTTGAATTGAAATAAAAAAGGAAAGTGAAACTTATGCTCGTCACCCTCTCCCTCCGGTCCACATTAATACAAATGATCCCAATACGTATGATTGTATGAAAAGATCTTAAAATCAATACAAATGTATTTATTATAAACGTTAGTCTTTAACACCTATCACTGTGTATATCACCATTCAAAGATCTTTAAAAGTTGAACAAACCCCACACAGCTCAGTGAAGTGTTGACTTTATTTGATAATTTCTGTAAAAACTAACGTTCTTATTTGTCTTTTTGATTATAATACTGATGAACGTTCAGAACAAAGCAAATTTGGCAACTTACCACATACGTTTTTAAATGCTTAATAAGCACCGTAACTTTCATGATATAATTTCTCCGTCGATCATAATCGGTTGTTTTCGTGAACGGCCGAATGTTGTGTGACGGCCGCAAGGCATTGTGGGGCAACATCTTCTCCTCTCCTTTCGGTAAGGGAGGTCCAGTGGTTCCTAAGCTAAAGGAGGTTATAAAGGAAGTTTGAAACCTCCTTTCCTATCATCTCGAGAATTCGAACGGCTCTTATCATCTTATCCGTTAGGAACGTTCCTAAGCTAAACGGACTATTCGGACGCAACCCTAGGTTCAATGCGGATGTTGAGGGTTCGTTGAATTTTAAATTACTCGTTTTTTTGCGACTGTCTTTGTTAAGTTCGACTTTTGTAAAGTGTCTTTGTGTATTTTTAAAGACGCTATATAAATTAAATACATTATTATTATTCTGAAATTATTTGAGGAAGAAATTGAAGGACAATCAAAATCCACCTTATATCTAGTTTTCCGTGTATTAAGTACATTTTTAACCAATTTCTTCTGACATAATACCACATTCTGTGTACAGGAAACATGTGTGTTTAAGAAAATGTCCTAAGCACACTTCTTTATATAGACCGAGGTACCACTGGTGATCGAGTTTGCTGATTGAAGTCGATTTGATACTGCACACGTTTTTTTAACTATATTGTATTTATTATCAGTTTTTAATTAGTATCATAAAGACTTTTTTATACATCATAAATATAGTTACACAGACATTCTGTCAAACCACTTTAATCCACCTTAGTTTCCTTATCTCTTTCGGTGGCATCAAGTCATCATTTTGTCCGTGTTAGGATGTTGATATTAAAGAGTGTTTCTCTCTCTTTGCAGTGTTGAGGATCGGCCACGCTCTCAGCCCTCTGTACAGATTCTCTCTCGCTGACGGCACCATCGTCTCGGCTCACACTAAGAGCAAACTGGTCCGATCGCAGGCCACCAACGAGCCTCAGCTCTACATGTCGCTGCACATCCTGCAGAGGTACGACACTCTTTCTCTTCCTCGTTTCTGTCTTCCTGATCATTAGGCTTAGTCTTTAGGAGACCCCACATGTGAGCTATTTTCCTCAATGTCCTTAAGAAGAGAGGCAACCGAAGGACAGTTATGCATTGTCTGAGAGTCCATCTTTAAAATGTTACACCAAAGTTTTCCCTTGTTTTTTAAGTCACTTTAAAAACTCTGGTTCTGAAACAGTGTTTAGTCTTTAGGAGCCTGTTGCAGTCAGTGTCATTCACTGTGTCAGTTTGTTAAATCAGATATGTTCTTTAGTTTCCTGTCCAACGAAAAAGAAGCAACCGAAGGACATTTATGCATTGTCCGAGATTCCATCTTTTGAAGTTTGAGTTTTCCACCTGCAAGCTTTTTTTCTTTACTACTTTTAGGTGTAATTGTTTCCCAGTGTTTCATTTTTAGGGTTTTAAGAAAGAAAGACATATTTTGAGAGCCTCCATTAACAGACACGAGGTTTAACTCCCAAGAAAGTTATCCTAAACCTATTAAACATTCTTGATACACATTTAGTTTAGTAGTCTGTCTTTTTGAGCGGTACAGAATATAGTAAGTGCATTTTTTCTTCGACGGTAGAAATATTACTTAGACTCTGTGGTCAATTGTTTTAAATGATCCTAATAAACCCTGAAAAGGGACACAAGGATCATCAACTTTTACAAAAACGTTTTAATGTTTAAAAACCAGTTAAACAGATAGTTTTGTTCTAATTGTCAGTAAATACAGAGAACAGGGTTTTGGGTAGAAGTTAGGTAAGTCTAAAACCTCTGGTTCTGAAACAGCATACACAACTGAGGAAACAGAGTAGTAACGAAGCTAAATCTGTAACAGTGTGATAGCTTTAAACATGAATCAACTCGAGCCCCACACCAAACACACAAAGCTCTCATTGTGCCGATCGCCGCGGCCATCATTTCCAATGTGGAACTTGTGGAAGTAAAAAGGCCACGTTCTGGCCATTGATCCTCGAAAGCTCCGGGTAACAGTCCTGGCTTTGTTTCCTGACCGCCGTCCAACTCTGTGAAAGGTCCTACTGGAGGAACACTGTACTGGCTGCTGGTGCTCCTGTCAGTTTTGTGCAATACATGCTGTATTGTTGCGTTTCTGAATAAGAGGCTCTTTGTTCTTAATACAGATTGATCTCTGTCCAAATCAACATCGAACAAAAACAATCAAACACAATCTTATATTTTTATGATGTACTTTAAGTCATTAGATCTTGTCGACCCCTTCCTGAAATGCCTCCATCAGCAGGAGAGGACTCTTTAAAGTAGAGACACTACATACTGATATACACCTGAACATCAGCAGGAGAGGACTCTTTAAAGTAGAGACACTACATACTGATATACACCTGAACATCAGCAGGAGAGGACTCTTTAAAGTAGAGACACTACATACTGATATACACCTGAACATCAGCAGGAGAGGACTCTTTAAAGTAGAGACACTACATACTGATATACACCTGAACATCAGCAGGAGAGGACTCTTTAAAGTAGAGACACTACATACTGATATACACCTGAACATCAGCAGGAGAGGACTCTTTAAAGTAGAGAAACTACATACTGATATACACCTGAACATCAGCAGAAGAGGAGAGGACTCTTTAAAGTAGAGACACTACATACTGATATACACCTGAACATCAGCAGGAGAGGACTCTTTAAAGTAGAGACACTACATACTGATATACACCTGAACATGATCATATTATGTCCTCTTTAACTCACCACTTGTGCTCTACCTCATTCTTAAAATTCACTTATTCTGATTTTTCTTTCTTTTGACTTCCAGAGAGAACATGACTGTGGAGATACCAGGAGGGCAGGGCATATCCAAACCAATGACCCCCACCAGTGTGTGCGGCCCCTCCCCTTCCCCTGATGCCAGCGTCACCAGCAACACCCCAGTTCGTGGTTTGGGCGTCGTTTCGGGGCGGGGTAGCAGCCCTAAAACAGTGAAACTGGGCAGCCCTTCACCCCAGGGAAGCCCCAACGTCTCCTCCGCCATTTTGTCCCCTCGTCATCTCCCAAACCCCTCTGGGTCTTTCTCTCCTGCAGCTGGACTCCATTCTCCAGCGTCTGTTTGCAGCAGCACGGGAAAAAGCCAAGGGTTCAATTCCCTCAGTGCACTGCAGGCAGTCAGTCAGGGGCACAGGGTTTCCCAAGGACTCACCGAGGGGCAGTGTACAGACAGGTCACCTGACAGGAAGTCGATTGGAGTCCAGAGCCCTCAAAACACTCAAAACACTCAAAACAGCAAGAATAATCAAAGCTTGGAGGCGGATTTATTGGGAACTTTTGGGGAGCAGCAGCAGCAGGAGTTGTTGTTGTCCCCGAGTCAAGAGGAGGAGAAGGATACTGACCCCGATAGCTCCGAAAATAACGGGGGTTTAGGGGAGGGAAATCGCCCGATGAACACAAAAGGCCACACTAAGCTTCTTCAACTCCTCACCACCAAATCAGAGCCCTCAGATCCTTGCTCTTCTCCCCCTTCAGGCGACGACCAAAAGGACCAAATGGGAGGTTTGGGTGGATCCGGGAATAACAACCACTCCACCTCGCTGAAAGAGAAACACAAAATCCTCCATAGACTCCTCCAGAACAGCACTTCGCCCGTGGAGTTGGCCAAATTGACGGCGGAGGCCACGGGAAAAGACCCCCTGGGTGGGGAGGCAACTTCTGGGGACAATATGGCCGCCCTGGGGGACATCAAACAGGAACCTGGGAGCCCCAAAAAGAAGGACAATGCGTTGCTGCGCTACCTGTTGGACAGGGACGATAACGGCATCCTGGATAAAACCATCAAGATGGAACCAGGCGAGGAACCGCAGCTGGCCAACGTGAAGATAGAGAAACAGGAAGTGGGATTCAACATGGCCGACCAGGTGAGGGGTGATGACAGTGAGGTTCGTGATTAGTAACGAAGAATCTGTGGGTGGATTGATGGGTAATGATTTGCCAGGAATTTCGATTACAATTTAAGTTCATTTTAACGGGAAAATAGCAACTTTTCGTTTTTGAGTCTCGAATGAATGTGTTACTTCTCTCAGTTTAGCATGGCTACAAATGACAATTATTTCTAGTATCGGTTAATTTGGTAAATGGGGAGAAACAATCAAAAGCAGTTTGAATATTATTTTAGTAAACTATAATAAAAAAATGCCATTTGTTGGGTTTCAATTATTATTATTTTTTCATTTACTGATTAATCTCCCCATAAATAGTCCGTCAATTAATCCAATGTCTTTTAATGTCCTATTTTATATACAAAATAACAAGAAAAGCTATAAGAGCAGGACATTTGACCGACTGAAANAATAGCAACTTTTCGTTTTTGAGTCTCGAATGAATGTGTTACTTCTCTCAGTTTAGCATGGCTACAAATGACAATTATTTCTAGTATCGGTTAATTTGGGAACTATTTTCTTTATTAATCTATGGGTAAATGGGGAGAAACAATCAGCAGCAGTTGCGAATATTATTTTAGTAAACTATAATAAAAAATACCATTTGTTGGGTTTCAATTATTATTATTTGTTCAATTAGTGATTAATCTCCCAATAAATAGTCCGTCAATTAATCCGATGTCTTTTAATGTCCTATTTTATATACAAAATAACAAGAAAAGCTATAAGAGCAGGACATTTGACCGACTGAAACTCAACTTTTACATGAAAAATAAAAGTACATTATATTAAAAATAGTTTATAAAACAAGGAATTTATTAGAAATAGTTGGCAATAAATGTATTAGTAATTGTTCCGTCCCTAATTTATGGTACAATTGAAAACGCAATATCTTTATCAGTAGTACATGAACACATGGAGGAGGACCGCAGTCATTCTTCCCTTGCATACTAACCATCTTGTCTTTTATGAGAAAGATCATAAATATTTCCACTTAGGAAGCTGGCATAGTGTGTTTAACAGCTCCTGTAAACACGTTGGGGTGTGTGTGTGTGTGTGTGTGTGTGTGTGTGTGTGTGTGTGTGTGTGTGTGTGGATAAATAGGGAACGCAATGCTACATGTGCAGCTGTAATAGAGACATAAGATGATGGACGGGATGTCAGTGGAGATATGTTTGTGGTGGAGATANCGTGTGTTGTAGAGAGAGAGAGAGTGTGTGTGTGTGTGTGTGTGTGTGTGTGTGTGTGTGTGTGTGTGTGTGTGTGTGTGTGTGTGTGTGTGTGTGTGTGTGTGTGTGTGTGTGTGTGTGTGTGTGTGTGTGTGTGTGTGTGTGTGTGTGTA